GTAACCACATCCCATAAAATGGGTATAATCTGTAAGATTAAAAAAATATATATTGAAATATATCGATACAAATTTCCACTAATTCTTTTCAAATGCTTAGCAACATTTTTTTATTGTGAACTAATGAAATATTTTATTTAGTATATTTTCAATTATGGAAAGCTTAGCAGAATAGCTCACTTTACACCATTATTACCCAGTATCAGAGATTAGTGAGATTACATCCTTTGTAAGAAAATAAATTAAAGATAAGATATTTATTATGCATAGATAGTATAATGTTAGGGAGTGTCATTGGAATAGAGTAAATAATGGTATTAGAATAAAAATAAATATAATTGCTAAAATACCTAAATCTTGTTTAATGTTGTCAAAATTGGAGCCAATTGACTTAGCAAGTCAGACAAAGCTAACTGATCAAGACGCATTTAAAGAAGAGAGCGGAAATCTCGAGCCGTTCTCCATTTCCCTGAATCTATTTGTCACCAGATTTTTTTTTCTGTATTGATTTTTAGACACAGAGGAAGGGAGAGGGAGAGAGAGAGAAACATCGATGAGAGAGAATATCAATTGGCTGCCTCCTGCATGCTCCCCACTGGGGATCAGGTCCACAACCTGGGCACGTGCCCTGACCCGGAATCAAACCAGAGACCTCTTGGTGCATGGGTCAATGCTCAGCCACTGAGCCACACCAGCTGGGCTATTTGTCACCAAAGTATTAAGGATGTAGGCATCCAATGACAGGGTTCAGCCCCTTCCTGTTTGTTCCCCTGTTTTGGTTCAGTTAGCAAATATATCTTGCTTGGAATATTGCTCTTTCTAAATGGATTTTCTGCTTCCAGTTTCACTCTCTACCATATTGAAGCCAAATATATATTTTTGAAAAACTCATTTTGGATCATGTCATTTCCTTGATTTAAACTCTCATTATTAACTGCCTGTCACAAGGAAGAAACCTAAGACCTTTGGCAGTAAGCGTATTTCAAGTCTGGTCCAGCCCGGCCTGCCCATTGCCACCTCCCACTGCTCACCCGTGCGCTCGGCACCCCATGCGCTCGGCACCCCATGCGCTCGGCACCCCATGCGCTCGGCACCCCATGCGCTCGGCACCCCATGCGCTCGGCACCCCATGCGCTCGGCACCCCATGTGCTCGGCACCCCATGCGCTCGGTACCCCATGCGCTCGGTACCCCATGCGCTCGGTACCCCATGCGCTCGGCACCCCATGCGCTCGGTACCCCATGCGCTCGGCACCCCATGCGCTCGGCACCCCGGCCGCGCTGGCAGATCTGGGCAGACTCAGTCTTTCTTTACCTCTGAGACCCTGCTCATTCTGTGTCCTCAGCCTGGGTATCCTCTGCCCTTTGCCTGATTTGACCTTGTCTTGAAATGTAGATACGTCACTTGATTCTAGTCAAAAGGCCAGCTTCCCTGCCTGCGCCAAGTCGTTCTCCTTCCGCTCACTGCGGCTCCTCTGAGCATGTCCCACCTGCACGGTACTCCTTTCCGTCTCCGAACCACTTCGCACGCCCTGCGTTACAACACTCTGTACTTGTCCTGTCCGGTCTACGTCAGGTCTGCGAGCTTTTCTCTGTCCTCGTTGTCCTCTGGGAACGCGCAGGAGGGGAAATCTTCTCTGACCGCCTCTCAGGGGCCCTGCTCTGGTACCTCCCAGTCCTGTACCTGCCTGCCGCTGCCGACCACCAAGGAAAGTCTCCGAGCCACAGATACCGCAGCAGTCCCACCCCCAGTCCTCGTGCTCGTCCACCACCCTGGATCCCTGTCTGGTTCCCCAGACCCCTGCACCGGGCTGGAGAACAGGAGCAGAGCGGCGCACACTGAGAACACACGGAGGGTTCAAATCCTGGCTCTGCCACTTACTCACTGTGTGATGTTGGACAAGTAATTATCTATAAAATATGAATAGTAATGGATTCACCTCAAAAGGTTTTTATGAAGATGAAATAACTAAAATATGTAAAGCAATTAAAACCTGGCACATATTAGTGTGCGATCATTACTCACTATTCTTTTATATAAAGATGTTACTTAAGAGCAAGCTAGCAGGTTGCCAGGGGCTGGGTGAAAGGGTGAAGAAATTAAGAAGTACAAATTGGTTGTTACAAAACAGTCACAGGGATGTAAAGTATAGGATAGGGAATATAGTCAATAATATTGTAATAACTGCATGGTGACAAGTGCATACTTGCATTTTCAGGGGGATCACTTTGTAAGTTATGTGACTGTCTAAGCACTATGCTGCACACCTGAAACTAATATAAAACAATATTGCATATCAACTATAATAGAAGAATAAAATAAATGAGTAAACAGCCTCATGAAAACAAACAAACAGAGCACGCTGCTCAGAGTGTTAAGAGTACAGAAGAAACAGGAGAGGGCACAGCACAGTGATTTGCTTCGGCTCAGAGCAGAGCTATTTGAGTTCAGAATAGCTCTGTGACCTTGGATAAGTGACGAACACTCTGTGCCTCAGTTTCTTAATGTAGTAAATGGAGATTGCTATTCTTACTTCATGGGGTTTTGTAAAGATTAGAGTTCATCCATCTTAACTACTTACGATTTGTAATATGTTGGCTAATTTATTATTATTAAATTAGGACAGACAGCATGTCTACACTCACACCTGTGCAGAAATATATCTCAGGTGGAGCCCCCTCCACTCAATATTTCTCTTTTTCTTCACACTCCGCCCTTATTCTCTGTCTTTGGTACTCCCCACCTGAGGTTTCCTTCTTATCCCCTCGGGGTCTGGGAAGCAGGAGCAGCACTAACACTTGAGCCAGGTGAGTCCCAGGGGAGAATGGCCACCAGTGGGCTTTGCTTCCTCCAGTTCCAGTTTGATTTCCACAAAGAGCTGGGGGCCGGTGTTTACTGGGGGATCCAAGAAGAAAGCAAATCTTAAAAATCTAAACTTGAAATTTCCTTAGAGTCAACCTAGCCAATTGGATCTCATGTTGAGGAAATGATTTTTTAAAATTAATCTCATTCTGAGCAGACCCTTCATAAATGTTTCATCTTCCTACCAACACCCCCTTGTCTTGCCTACATCTGTCATTTTCCTGTTCCACATGAGGCCCAGGTAGTTACAAAACAGAACTTGCTAATTATGAAAGACTATGTTCTTTCTTTCGACAGTAAGGGAGCCAGTAGATAGTAACTATGTCTGGTTCTGGAATCTTCCGCAGAATGTGATGGTGAGGGAGCTGGCCAATTCATTTTACCAACTTCTGTTTACATTCTTTTGAGGAGAGAGAGAGGATTAGGTAAACAAGGTGAAGAATGACTGATGGAGAGAAAATAGAATTCTGAGTTAAATTTGAACTTACCATTTTAAAGGTACAGAGATGTAAAATTTTTTTTTTTTTTTTAATCCTCACCCGAGGATATTTTTCCATTTTTTGTACAGGCAGAGTGGGAGGGAGAGAGAGGGAGAGAGAGAGAGAGACATCGACGTGAAGGGACACATCGAGTGGCTGCCACCTGCACGACCAACCAGGGCCGGGGACAAACTGCAACCGAAGAAGTACGTGCCCTTAGCGGGAACTGAACCCGGGTCTTTCCGGACCGCAGGCCGACGCTCTAACCGCTGAGCCAAACCAGCCAGGGCCAGAGATGTAAAATTTTTAATTAACTATTTATAAAATCAGCATCATATGAACTTTTCTCACTTCCCTAATAAGGTTTCAAATTAAAAGTTGAATACAAATTGATTATTGTTTCTAAATGAAGGAATAATCTGCGAGTTTGTTTTGTGTATCCCATCAATATCTTTGATAAACATCATTTTCTATATATAAAAAGAAATTTTAATAGCTGTCTTTTAAAATTTAATATAGTTTATCTCAACAAGATAAATTAGTCTGGTAAAAGAATCTTTTTCAATAACATGATTTGAAAAGGGCAATTTATCCCATTTTGAAAGTGGTAACATCATAAGATTGGTGGTTATCATTATATAGCAATTGATTACTTTAAAGTACATAAATGCATAATTCATGCATTGTGGCTCACTGATTAAAGGGATAGTGACCCATGTAGATAATACTAAAATGCAGACAGACTTTAAGTATTGGCCAGGTTGCTTTGGTCATGCTTCTTCACTTCAGGCAGCAGAGACCGAATTACTTTGATTTGATTTGCTTTCACCCACCTCCCCTTTGTCCACAGGCATAGGCTTGTACCCAGATATTAATTATAACCACACCTTGTGATCAGTTATGTTTTCATAAATATAAATGCGAAAGACTGACTTAGGGAGCTTTTTGCATTTCCATGGTGATATACACAAACAAATAAAAAATGTGCCCCCCCGAATGTGTGATTAGCACAGCCGCGGTGGCGTCTGGGTTGGCATCCAAAAGTTTGCTTACAGCGTTTATGGTGGGTTCATTCAGGTGACTCCCAAATGCCCAAAGAAGCTGAACACAGAAAAGAACTGCAACTATTGAAAACTTGCCCTGCCTGTTCCATTGTTGGGGATAAAAATCATACACTTAGTGTTGTTCTTCTAATAAATATTTCAGACCCTTTTATGAATCATTAGTACAGACGCAATCCCCTTTTAATGTCATGAAGTGAGAGAAAGAAAAAATAAGATACCTTTTAGGTTCTGCGTCTCTCCCTCCTACACTGCCGGAACCCTCCCCTGTGCACACAATAGATTAACGACCCTCTGTGCATACTCCGTTTTGCTCAGCTCTTAATATTCTGAAGCGGACTGAGCAGCCCTTATCTGTGGGTTCCGGGGTGATTTCCAAGCCCAGCACAACCCACCCAAGTGGCAGCGACAGCGGCTTTCACTGAAGCCTTATTACTCTTAAAAGAGCAATTTGGTTGGTTGCACGGCTATTAGGATCACACAGCAGCCTGAAACCTGTCAGTACAGCTGCCGCTCATCTTTTTCACACGCTCCTGACATCTTCTCTCCCTTCTGCCGGACACAGACATTACTGTTTTTATCCTTTTCAATCAAGGTCCCCCAGACGCCGAGGACCGGACTCCCACGGAGAGCAAAGTGCAGATCAGAAGTGGTTTTCTAGCTCCGGGGGCCGAGCAGGCGTGCAGAGGGGAGCCGGTGCCTGGGAGATGTAGCTGGGCTCAGGGCTACCTCGGGAGCTGCTACTTCAGCTGCTGAAGATGCCAAAACAGCACCTGCCGCGGGCTTTCAATGATTCAGGCTAGTTCGGTAACCGGGAGGGAAGAGGATGTGAGACATTTTGTGAAATTCACTTGTGGAAATGTTATCATCAGAGAAAGTGGGGAAAATCACTAGACTTGAACTTCTCTTCGTTTTGATGCTCGTTTTCTCTGGACCAACTCTGAGCAAGCTGACTCGGACCCCCTGGAAGGGCAAGCCTTGGAAAGGGGGTAAGTGAGGAAAGTTTGCTGTTAAAGATCTAATTGGAGTTAGCAGGCTAATCAATGGGACTTGAGGCTGGCTGCAGGTAGACAGAATGCTGGGTCTGGAATCCGATTCTTATTTCGGGAGGAGAATCTGTGTTGCAGGTGGCAGGGAAACAGAGTTTTTCTCTGTTACTGATATAAATATATTCTTGCAATTTTCTGGGCTATCAAAGTGTTAGGAGGATTTTTCCCCAGTGGAAGGACACAGGGCCAGATGCTGCTGCTCTATCTAGTTCAAGGATATGTTTGCTATTCTTAAGAAGCTGCGTTATTTAAAGAAAGAAATGGGTCCTGAATATGTTAGATCTCTGAATTGTTAGCAGATTTTGTGAAACGATCAGAGGGATGTGTGAGAAGGGGAATGTTGTGAAAAGCAGTACCACCGACACTGATTTTCTGGCTGACTCTATCAGTGTTGATGTGTTAATAAAGATAAATCGCATTAACTTTATTGAAAAAATAATCTCTTGAAAGAGACCAAGCCTTTCAGTATTTTGGAGTGCTATAATCCCTTTTCTTCTACTGTTGAAAAATTATGATGAGGGAGAATTTTTGATACTTTGAACCCTGCCTTTTGATGAAGTTCAATTGATGCTGCTTTTCCTGAATGCCGTTTGTTTCTTCTAAACAGTTACCAGGGTATCTGTTCTGTGAATGCCATTAGCCAAAATAATGCTGCAGAAATATCCCAGGAGAGACTCTTTGGACAGTGTTTACCTGTTTTGGGAATATCTGAGGATTTTGCTTTGCAGAAGCATTCTTTTCACCTAATATTTCTTATCACAGCTCTAAAAACGTTTCCTGGACCTCCCCACCTTTGCTTTACTGTGAATGTTACGATGTGAGGTTAAAGAGAAGCATGTACATCAACAAGAAGTTTTAATAATTTATCACAGCATCTCAGCAGGATTTTCTAAATACACAAGCTCCTTCAGTTTGATCTTTCTGTTTCTCCTTTTGTTGTGTTAAAGATATTACAAATCTTCCACCTACTATCCCTTCAAGGGAAAAGTTCCAACAGGCACTTAGCTTAGATGGTTGGTGAGATGCACCCTAAGGACTAGAGCTGCAAATTATTTTTGGGCCTTGTAAATTATATCACCACATTACTGTCTTTCCTAGTGTTATCAGTGATTTTTTTTTTTTCTTGCAAGCTGCAAGCTGCTATTTATGTTAGCCTGCATGGTAGCATTTTGGTAGCTTAGGATCTAGAGATATATGGTGTTATCGACTCTAGGGGATGTCAGGAGTCTTAACTTGTACTTCCTATATACATTTTTAAAAGACAGTCAGCACTTCTAGCATGTAAAGTATGATTTTCTGTGATAAATTTTAGCCAGTAGAGTTTGGAGCTCTAGCTACCCAGTGAGAAAGTTACAATATTATAGCTGCAAGATTATAGAAAAATTGTCAACCTAATCAGAAGGTTGATTTCAAAATGCTTGCCTGTGTTCCTAGGCATTTGTGTATTCTACACAGTTTGAAATACAGAGGCACTGGGTTTTCTTTGTAAATCAGGTCTGAAAGCTTTCATTTTGAACACATGACTACTTTTCCCTGTGTACTCTAACTAGCTCAGCTAGAAAGTTGCTAGCTCTGCTGTACTACAATGATGGGACTCAGTCACGTCCAAGAATAGGCAATCATAGTAATATATTTATTGTTAAAAAGTCCGTGTATTTTTGAAAGTCAGGTGAGTTACTGGAAAACTTTAAATGTGTTGAAATTCTTCCCTTTACTCTGAAATTCTTCCCTTCTTAGTGGCTCTTTTGGTCACTGTATATGTGCTACATAAATATTTTCTACAGATTCTGAGTTCCTGCAAAGTAGCTTTACCTTGATATGCATATGTATATGTTTAAATATTTATTTTTCATGAACTTGATGATTTGCTGGCTTTGTTATCGTTCTGATGCGTTGTAAAATGCTGTTACTTTTTTCTTGGCATATCACGGGGCCTTGTAAAACATATCTTTATAGTTTTCCAACATTATTTTCTCCCTTTAGGAAGTAGGAGTCTTTTTATTACTTTGCTGACTACCTGGCTAGAGTATATGTATATATGGGGTGGGGTGGAGATGGTGAGTGAAGCTACAAACACAATGGCCGGAGGCAAAGAGGAACAAGGTTTAAAACACAACAATTTAGAGAAGATTTCTCTAACTATTTTTTAGTTTGCTTTAAAACTGACACTATTTCTGAATACCCTGGAAAAAGTAATAATAACAAAACGACAGAGTTTTCTTGTGAAGTGATTCTTTTCGAACTCACATTGCCTGTGTGCATTTGTCTCGTTCTGACTGAGCAGCTGTCAATCTCCGTATGGCGACCTGCCCACGCTGACAATTTCAATTTTTGTTGTATTACCAGAAATCACCCTCTGAGAGGAGGGTTATGGGGACAGGGCTGGGAGTGGTGGCGTCATCGACCAGTGAGGAGTGGTACATACAGCATGTGGCCAGGCAGCTCCGAACAAGTATCTGTAAGCTGACGCACTAGAACATTTGGGGGAAATGCTGATTATTGTTGGCTACCAAGGGATTTTTAAGCTCATCAATGAACATGAATCACAAATATAGGTTAATAGGCCTGCAAGTTCCCCCTCAGGCACATGCTTTCCTACTTAATCACAATATATGAACGACTTAAGGGAAGGCAGCTGTCTAATCTGATCAGTTTAGAGCGGTAGAAGTGGTCCTAAGTTTGGATTTATGATAAACTAACTAGAAATCCTAACCACACTGCTGAAATCATCTTCATTAGTATTGAAGGACCTAATTATTTTGCATTCAGTTACTCTCACTGGGAAGAATGTCTAAAAGATGTAAACAGCTCCATTCTAATGAGCATAACTTTATAGAGAAGTTTACACTATAGATCATCAATATATGTAACAAAAACTCACTTTAAATATATATATGTGTGTGTGAATATATATGTGTATATATATATGTATATATTATTTATTTATTTTTTAATCCTCACTGGAGAATATTTTCTACTGATTTTCAGATAGAGTGGGAGGGAGGGGAGAAGAGAGAAAGAAACATTCGTGTGAGAGAGAAACATCCATTGGCTGCCTCCTGAGGGGCCTCACCCAGGGCCAGGGATCTAGCTGCAGCCGAGGTACATACCGTGACAGGAATCAAACTTGCGACTCTTTGGTCTGGGGGCTGACGCTCTAGTCACTGAGTCAAACTGGCCAGGGCTAAAATATATTTTTAAAAATGTCTCATATTAGAAATTAGAATTTAAGTAAAGTTTTAATATTTATAGCTGCTATTAAAAGTAAAAATAGGAGCCAAATAAGTATAAATAAAAAAATCGGTGTAAAAGATAGGGTAAGGCTAGCACTAAGGGTGAGAGTCAAAACATTAAGCACTTTGTGAATTACCAACAGTGACCAATCAGAGCAGACTAAGGGGAGGGACCAACCCTGCCTGTCATTAACACCCCTCAACTCTTCCACTTGACCTTGACTCCATTTAAATCTACTGAAGTGTCTGTTGAGTTAATTCAAACTTGTTAGTCATGATGAATTAAACTCTGTCAACAGAGCATGAAGTTATCAAAACTTTTGACGATTCAGAAGGTAATTTTACATCATTCAGACTTGAATCCTTTTATAAATTACAACAGCCAGTTGTTCATATCCATCTATGCTAAACAAAGGAAATCTCTCTGGCTGTTATTTCCCCCCTTCTCTGGTTAGAAAATATTATGAGCACATACTATCACTTTATAGGTCTTTCATGGTGCATTGAATCGCTGCTGTGGGAATATTCTGAATGCCATTTTAGATCTTATGTCATAATTTTCGTGGCCCAATATACTATACTGATAATTATTTAAATATTTTTGTTTTAAAATTTGCTGAAGCTCTTTTTTTAAACATTAATAGTTAAAAAGATGTTTTATGGCCTGGTGTCTACTACCTATAACATTATTTTTATATTGCTGCTGCTTTTCTAGTTATATGAGCTAGTAAAAAAATTACTTTGTGTCAGTATCTCACACAATCCAGTATATTACACTTCTTGTTATTGTATAAGAAATAAAGCTTTTTATTAATAAAATTTGAATACCAATGATTTAGTCTTTCAGAAACACCAAAAAAAAAAAAAAATTAAAATTTCCTGGTTTAAGAAACATAAGTGGATCATTTTGTCTTTGTTGCCCTTTCTGGAATGACCCTTTACTGCTAAACTGGCCCTGGCCACCAGCACGTGCTTCTCAACCACATGCTAAAAGCAATTTTCCATCTTTTAAAGGATGGGGCATTTCATCTAGATTAGGGGACGTTTGTCCGTCTTCACAGAACTTCACTGTTATTTGTAGCTATTTTTTATTTTGTTTACTACTTTAAGTTATTTGAAGAGAAATTTTGTTTTTGATTCATGTATGTTAACATTGAGTCTTACATATAATAGGTGCTCAATAATTTGATGAACACACAAAGTATATGAAAAATTAGACAGGTTATAAACTATTCTATGACTTTAGGTATTGGTGACATATTTCTTACTTCTAACTAGGGGCTACGTCTTACCTTTCTAATGTTGGGAAATCATTTTTGTCACTATACTTTACTACATTATTTAAATTTCAAGCTTGGTTATAGAAAAATATGAATGTATTTATAGTATTATAAAACTTGGAAAATTCTGGCAGCCTCATATAGGAAGTAAGGGGAAAAAGCACTGTTGTTGTTCAAAAGTAATTTATAATGTGAGACTGAATCTGGGAGTGAACAGGATGAATATTCATGCAAGATGTAGAGTGTTCTTTGTGCTGTGTATAATCACTACTTCTGTTTTTCATTCGTTTAATTTATTTAGTCTCTATCTGCATGCAATAAATAGATTTAATACCTTATCTTTCCTACAACTGAAGAGTATATTTCAAACTCAAGTTTGAAATGGATATGTCTTCCCTGTGGTCAAAAGATTATCTAAATAATTTTT